GTGCTTAAAGAGCACTTCAACTTCTACTCAAGTCACTTTTTTGATAGAGCACTTGTACTTTTACTCAAGTCCGGGTTTCTAGTACTTTATACATCTCTGATGATCTCTGAGTGAAAGACGAGCTTGAGAGAGGAAGTGAGCAGATAGTGCTGTTTGTGAAAGAGAAATGCACTGTGTTGTGTTTGGGTTACTCTGTTTGTTCAGTCACTCAGTGTTTTGCTTTGTAATGGTGTTTGCTGAACCATTTCTGTTGGTTTGTTTTGGACTCATTTGTTGGTTTGTACACATTTCTGTTGTTCTGTTGAAGGATCACTTCTCCTTCGCCGAGATCATCCATCCTCCTCACAGATGTGGCATATTCAGTGTAGGATTGCCAATACCCGCCAATATCTGCCAATACCTGTGTTTTTAATTGAAGCACTGCTATACTGTTATACTACCGGTCACAATTGTGACCGTAAACAAATTTACAAATCTTACGAGCAAAATATAAATGCAGGAGTATAATTCTCAAAATATATCAGTAGTAGACCCTTTAAAGAATATATGTACAAAATTTGATAGTTCTATCTGTAAATTAAGATGTTTTGTATACTACTTATTTTAGTAGTCTGAGGAAGAAATCTTCTTCTAGATGTACAAGCAGGAAGTGAACTGAGCACTTCAACTGAGTCATGTGACCTTTCACACTAGTCACATGACATTAATTGATTTTAATCAAGACAATCTATTTTGTCATTTAAAAGTTGAATTTCTTGCCCAAAGTCAATAACATTTTTAGAGCTTCCAGAAATAAGAAAAAAGCTGCGGTCACAATTGTGACCGGTGGGATTAAACGGGTTAACATTCAAGAGTGTTAAAGTTAATAATCTCATTAAGTGATTCATTGAGTGATGATTGACAATTATTGAAGATACCTTAAGGAGAAAATCTATTTTTTAATACACCATTATGGTGATCAGTGTTTGCGTTAGTTGGGCTCTTGACTCTTAAACTGTTAACATTAGATTTTGTTCGGCTGCTGTATCTGAGTTATAACTGCCAGTTGAACAAAGAGAAAAGTTGGTCAGGTGGTGTTGATTATGTTTTCACATAATCATAGTTTGTCCCGAATATCTGGACTCGTTTAGAGTCTATTCTCTGACATAAATGTATATAATAGATTCCAGCATCACTGTGATTACAACATACCATCCAGAATTTCCTAAAAAATCTAAAATATTTCTAAAAAGTTGTTCTGATAAAACAAAATCTTTCTTTTAGGCAAACACAGACATCAAGAATCAGTGTATGAATCTCAACAATGGTGACATACAGAATATGCCATTAGTGATATGAAATAACTTGGACAATTCATATTGTAAGTTTTTCATACAGCAATGCATGATGAGCGCCATGAATGAGTTTTGATTGGTGGCATCTAGAACGCACTGCAACATGCTTTATTATTGTCACCATTGTTGATATTCATTGTCTGATCATTGATGTCAGAAAATTTTTATTTAGAATTTCAAAGTCTTCTGATTTAAATAACTTTTAAGAAATATACTGTAGAATCACAGTCTGCTGTAATCAACAAGATAGATCTAACTCTCTAAACGTGATGTGTGATTCAGATCAAATTGTCTAAACAAAATCTAATGTTAACAGTTTAAGAGTCAAGAGCCACAACTAAAGCAAACACTGATCACCATAATGGTGTCTTAAAAGAATATTTTCTCCTTCAGTGATTCTGCTTGTTAACATCAGGTGTCTTTAATATCATCACTTAATGAATCACTTAATTATCTCATTAACTTTAACACACTTGAACACAAGAGAGTTAATTTAACACTGGAGTTTTTGCTTTGTACCTTAACCTGTAAAACATAGAAGGGGTACATATTTTAATGCCTGGGAACATACATGTGTAACGAGGATTAATTTGTAACTAGTTTTTTTATTTTTATTCACACAAAATCCTTATGGTTTCTGTTAGAAATCAATATCCATATGTGAGAAAAGGAAAATTTATTCATTTGCTCCGAGCGGGCCTCGAACCCGGGTCTCCGGCGTGAGAGTCGGGCGCTCTAGCAAGGAGGCTAAAGACTGCAGCCTCTAGTGTCTGTCGCTAGAGCGCCTATTGAGATCAGGGGAGTGAGGTTTACTCGCACAGCAACTACTAGCTGGCCTCCGTTACACTCACCCCCCTAAACCTCACTCTCATCCGGGTCACGGCACCAATGTAACCGGTTCAGCTACCCCTCTGCGTTGTGTTGTGCGGTGGAGGCGATGAATAAAGACTGGAGCCGAAATAGCTGATTCAATGACTCTTTTATCTGTGAAGCACCAAGTTGGGAAAATGCAGTATACAATCAGGTTGTGTAATAAAGCCAGCTCCTCGCTCTGCTCAGACCTCCCGCGGACTGAAGCGAGAGCGCGCGCAATGCGACAATGACGTCACAACCGCGACGAACTCAAAACTCATAAAAATACAAAAATGAATAAATTTTCCTTTTCTCACATATGGATATTGATTTCTAACAGAAACCATAAGGATTTTGTGTGAATAAAAATAAAAAAACTAGTTACAAATTAATCCTCGTTACACATGTACATTTTTGAACGTCAAAAAGTAGTGATGGTGAAATGAAGCTTTCTGAAGCACTGAGGCTTTCCCCTCAAGTGTAGAGTAAATTGGTTCATTACTCGAAGCTTTTCAACACGGTGCACACTAACGACATCTTGTGGTCAAAAGGTGGAAAAGCTACCTTCCCCAATTTTTTTGTATTGTTTTATGTAATAAATCACTTTGTGCTATGACAACCACAAAGCAATTAAAAAATCATCAGTGTTAGAGTTGATTTTTACACAATGTATGAACAGTCTATGAATTAATTTATGAAATAATATGAGTTCATTCAAGGCTCATATAAGCATATATAATCAAAATAAAATAAAACTTTTGTGGAATAGTGAAGTGCTGGGTAGTGAAAGTGCTTGTGAACTGTGAATCTCAGTCGGTCTCAATTCATTACCGAAGCGCATGACACTCGAAACCTGCGCAAGGGGCAATTTTTAAATCAGAATATGAAGCAGTCACGTGGTTGTGTGTTGAAACGAAGCTTCGGACGTCACTGATCACATGGTTATGTGAAAACGAATCAAGCTCCGGTACAGTGCTTCACGTGAGATGCTTCGTTTTTTGATAGAAGCTTCGAAGCCTCGGTGCCAAACATCACATCACTATCAAAAAGGAACATGTATGTACCTTGATGTCCAATAATAAGCCCTATGGGGTACATTAGTGAGAGTCATTCTGTCAGAGACCTCCACTTCCCTGAGCTACGCCCGATATGATGTCAAGCGGCTGGCTCTGATGACAGGCGTAGGACGTATTGCTGAGTCCTCTGATCCATGAGCTCAGCCAAAGGCTAAGTGGTTAGGCTCTCTGTAAGCACTGCTAGGCCTCCTCTTGCTAGAGAGAGTTATATTATATTGAGGCCTCCGCTCTCCGGAGCTTGGCCAGGATAGCAGTTTGCTGAGCCTGTTTCGCCACTGCCTTTAATTTGTAACTCTGCCTGAAAGGGCTCTCTGAACAGAAGGGTCAGGCTCTCCGTGAGCCTCCTTGGATGCTGGTGTAAATGGAGAGCGTAGCTAGGCCTCCTCTCTTCAAGAGTCATCCTGTTCAGGCCTCTGTTCTTGAGAAGCTCCTGACAATATTCTCTCAAAGGTGTCCGTAGGAACACAAGCTCTTGAGATTGCCCGTAAGGGGCTGTAACAAGGCTAGTTGTGGGAGGAGGCGGGGACCGACAAAACGAATGTTTCACAGACGACTGCCACACACACGTAATCAAAACAGTTCCCACTATATATTAAGTGGCTTTAAGTATGTACTTACATTGAACAATAAGTACAATGTATTATTGTGTTCCTGTTGTATTGTAAAAAACTCTTTTGCTGCTATTGAGGTGTGATACGGGTAAGGTTAGGGACAGGTGTGGTGGTATGGGTAGGTTTAAGGGTAGGTTAAGGTGTGAGGGGAGGGTCAACTGGGAGTTGAAAAACGGGAGTTTACTTTTATTTATTTTCTCCTTTGAGTATGATGTTGTTTAAGTCTGATACTGCCATTTCTGATGTATTATTGATGAGTCTGACACTGTTTTTGCTACTTCTGTTTAAGGCTGTTCTTAGCTTTGCTGTATCTATGCTGTGCTGTTATACATGGCATTAGTGTCTTTTAATTCTGTAGTTCTGTAAAGCACTTTGGTCAGTCAGTGGCTGCTATAAAACGTGCTATATAAATAAAATGAACTTGAACTTGAACTTTATAGCTTGGCCTTTGGTTGTCGGGAAATAATCACTATGCTGGTGTGCTTCTTAGGGATGGGGACTCCTTTGTGTCTTTGACTTATGTCAGTCATTAGGGCACTCAACACCTCAGCATGGCATCCCCATTAAATCATCAAGGATTCAATTATTGTTGTGCAGAAAAATACATACAATGTTACTAGTTATTGACCCTGTACAATTGCTGTTGTTTTTTTGTTTTGTTTTTTTACAAAAAAATAATGATAAGACGGGCATTATATATATATATATTTTTTTTTTCTTTTTCTTTTTTTTTTCTTGTTATATTATTTAAAATTAATTGATTGAGGAATACTAATATGATTACTTTAAAAAATGAATGAGGAGGAATGTAGTGTGGAGTGAAGTCTTGTGTCACTAAAAACCTGAGGCAGTTTGAAGGGTTAACGTATAACACAAAAGTTGATACGCTCAATGGTCACACTGTAAAAACCCAAATTTCTGACCCTTATACCTAAAGCTAAATTACAATCTAAAGACATCACAGAGACCCCTAAGAGAAACAGCCGTTTGACTCATGGGAAGAACTCTGCTAATAATTTCCTACAGAAACTTCAGGATAACCAACAGATGAGTTTAATGATCTTTACTAGAAACATTTAAAAATACCTAATCTTTCATTAGTTCATGTTTTTGCTTTGTATTTTTAGTGCTGATTTCAATCATCCACTCTGGACACACTGAAGGTGAGTGAATAAATGAACTAATTTAGGATAACTTCCACCCCCAAAATCCCCAAAAGGAACATTCTGATGAACTTCTTGTAATTTATCTTAAGAACTTTCTTAACTTTTTACTTAAAAATATTTTCATGAATCCAGTGAAAAAGAGTGTCATGATTATAAACACAGCTTTTAAAACCAGTTATACAAATGATGAATGTGTTGTGACTAACACCACACAGATGGTTTTGAGTTGTGAAAACAAAAAAACAACATTCACTTACAAAAATTACAAATTTTGTAATATTACTAATATTAATATTGCATGTTATGAAGAATATAGAAACATAGAGTATCTTTTGATATTTGCTTTGTCTTGAAAATTATCAACTCTATAGACACATTATAAAGTGAACAGATTTAATAGAAAAAAAAAATATATAAAAGTAATTTTATTTGCAATACTTAGTTGAATTAAACTGATCTCTCAACAGCAATTTGCATTACATCGAAACAACAACATTACAACTTGTGAACTTAAACTTGACACAATCTGTAAACTTGTCCCTCAAATCTGATTGGTTGATTGGAATGTTGTTCAGGATCAATAAAGATGTTTATTCAGTAACGTGTTATAATCGGAAAAAAAACACATTCACTGTGTTGGTCAATGAAGTAACTGTTCCTAGAGAGAAGATAATTGAAGATTTTTATTCATTAAATTCACCATCACATTATTTTCATTGTTTATTGTTGTTGTGCAGAAATACCAAAACCCAGAGTGACCATTAAACCTGATCAACATGTGTTCAGAGGAGAGACGGTCACTCTCAGATGTGACATTGATGTTAAAGCAGTCTCTAGCTGGAAGTACAACTGGTTTAAAGAAGGTTCATCAATAGATTCCAGTAAACTACAGGAACACACTTTCAGTTTTGTTACTAAGTCTGACGCAGGGAAATACTCCTGTAATATAACAGAGACTGACGGATCAGGCATTTCACGACTGAGTGATGAAGTCACACTGACAGTATGGGGTGAGTTTGATCATCTCTTCATAAACACACACACAAGTTTAACATGTTATTAATGAGTGATGTCTGTATCTCAGATTCCACAACAGTGTTAAGTGTTTCTCCTCAGTCGTGGTTGACTGAAGGAGATCCAGTGACTCTGAACTGTGAGGTTAACGGCTCTTCTACAGGCTGGACATTCAGCTGGTTCACTGTAACTCTCATATCAGGTATTATAATGTCCTCTATGTGATAACATATACATTTACTGGTTTTATCAAAAACATTATTAGAGATAATTTCCTTTAGTGATCATCTGCATATTCTCATTTAACACAGACACGATTGTTCGCAATGATCAGCTCTCAGACAGCAGAAGAGGAGCTGGAGGAAAATACACTGTCAGTTCTGTTGCTGTAAATCACACAGGAGTTTATGTGTGTGGAGCAAAGAGAGGAAAATCAGCCAATACAACATTTTACAGCAAAAGACAACCACTGTGGGTCACTGGTGAGTTCACACTATAGTTGATTCAGAGTTGTAAAGAGTACCAAAAACTGAGTAAAGGTACAGATACCTTACAGCTAAAATAACTCACCAGTTACTTTCCACCTCTGGATTTGTAAGTACAGTAACTATTAAAATTACATTTACACCAATATTATACACCACTAAAATGATTAATTCATCTCTAATAAAGACAATTTCCTAATTGTCTCTGTAATGATATCTTGTCAGGTGTTTCTCCTCCAGTGTCTCTGATCATCAGTCCCAGCAGAACTCAACACTTCACATCCGACTCTCTCTCTCTGAGCTGTGAGGACCAGAGTAACTCTGATGGATGGACAGTGAGGAGATACACAGAGAGTTTAGGGCTAAGAGATTGTTCATTATCAGGATGGGGATCACAAACAGGATACAATCAGCTACACCAGCACATCAGACACTGGAGTTTACTGGTGTCAGTCTAAATCTGGAGAGAAATATCATCCTGTTAATATCACTGTACACTGTGAGTCTGTGTTTCTGGATTTATTTATTTCACTGACAGTTTATAATCGATGCATAAAGCAGGATGATTTTAACAAGAGCAGATACTAATGTAAGCAACCAGCCAGAACCGTATAACAACACACTAAATACACTCAGAAACCAGTGTGCAGAGGAAAACTGAAAAGTTTTCTTGTTATTATATTACCATTTTGTTTATGTATTGCATGTTTCCTCTATTTCTGAAGCTGGTGTGATTCTGGAGAGTCCTGTTCATCCTGTGACTGAAGGAGATAATCTGACTCTACGCTGTTTATATAATCATACATCCCCATCAATCCTCAGATCTGATTTCTATAAAGATGAATCACTCGCCCAGAGTCAAACTATAGAGATGATCATCCCGACTGTCTCAAAGTCACATGAGGGTTTCTACTACTGCAAACACCCGAGAGGAGAGTCGCTCAAGAGCTGGATCTCAGTCAGAGGTGAGAGTAAGATAAAAAAAAAAACACCATTAAAAATAATCCTATACAATTTACATGTAGATATAAAACTTATCTGTTTCTCCAGCCTCAGGATCTGATAGTCTCAATCCTGTGATAATTGGAGTGATTGCAGGACTGACTGTTGCAGTTTTGATCATTGTCTTCTTGGTCCTGCTTTGGTGCTGCAGAAACAACAAAGGTTAAGTGCTCTAAATCAGTCATTTATGGTTTCATTTGTGGCACATGAAGACAGTGAGAGAGGCAGCTTAATGTTTTGGAACACAACAATAATGTGATGAATAAATAAAAACATTTCATAAACACTTTGTGATTCTCAAACATGTACTGTATACATGAAAGACATTAAAACCCACGGCCCAGATCCGGCCCACATTCGCCACATGTGTAATCTACATGTTCCAGATGTGGGCCGGATCTGGGCCGACGTGTTGCTGTCTGAGAAAGTCAGTTTTCCTCAAAACATTTACTCAAATATTTCATGTTTGACTAGGTGTAAGATCTGAGTCTCGCTCTACTGTCAGTCAACAGCAGAACATCAGTCAGACATCAGAGCAGAACCAGAGTGAAGCCGGACACAACACACTGTCTGGTCAGTCTTTACTTATTAATATACACATAAATGTACACAATCTGAGATGAAAGCCACGTAGGAATGACTTTTCACTATAAAGCATATTTCAACTAGATAATTCACTCTTGATTTGCTCTACAAATAAAATAATAAATAAACTTTTAAAAAGAACTACTGAACTCATCATAATGACATGAAATACTTCAGAAGTGGAAAGTCCAGGGGTCAAAAAGTAAAAGTCCTGCCATATTTGTAGTGTTAAATGAAATTTCCTGAGAGTTTATTTGGATCCAGACTCAAGAGTGTTAAAGTTAATAAGATAATTAAGTGAATAATTGAGTGATGATTGACCATTTATGAAAACACCTGATGATAACAAGCAGAATCACTGAAGGAGAAAATCTATTTTAGTCACCATTATGGGCTTTAGTTGGGCCTTTGAATATTTAACTTAAGATTTTGTTTGGCTATTGTAATTGAATTTTAACAGCCAGATGAACAAAGAGAAAAGGTGATCAGATGTTGTCGGTTATGTTTTGACACAATCATTATTTGACTTGAATCACTGAACTCATATAGAGTCTAATCTTAGACTTTAATGTATAATGATCATAACAGCATCACAGTGATTCTATAGCATTATATCCAGATTTTTCAATATAAACCAAATGATATCTTAAAACTTGTTCTGATAAGAAAAAACAACTTTCTTTTAGGCACACACTGACATCGAGATTAATTGTATGAATCTCAACAATGGTGACAAACAGAATATTCAATTGGGAAAATGAAATTACAAAGACAATTCAGATCATAATTTATTCAAAACGCAATGTATGATGGGAGCTATGAATAAGTTTTGATTGGTGGCACCCAGAATGCACTGCAACATGCTTTATTATTGTCACCATTGTTGAGAATCTCTGGCTGATTCTTGATGTCTGTGTGTCTAACTAAAATGTTCTTCCTTTGAATAAAACAACTTTTAAGAAATGTTTTGGATAATATTTAAATTACTGAAAATATTACATTGTGTACTCAAAAAGGTTAAACAAATGAGACAAATTAGTTTTGTGACAAATGATGATTATGTCAATAAATAACAAACATCACCTAATAAGCTTTCCATGTTGTTCATCTGGCTGTTATAACTCAGGTACAGCAGCCAAACAAAAACTAACATTAACAGTTTAAGTGTCAAGAGACCAACTAAAGCAAACACTGATCACCATAATGGTGACTTTAAAAATGTGACTTTCTCCTTCAGTGATTCTGCTTGTTAACACCAGGTTTCTTCAATAATGCTCAATCATCACTCAATAAACCACTATTGTGAATGTGTGAATTATCTCATTATCTTTAACACTCTTGAGTCTGGATCCAAAGAAACTCCCAGGAAAGTTAATTTAACACTACAATGGCAGGACTTTTACTTTTTGGCCCCTGGACTTTCCACTTCTGAAGAATTTCATGTCATTCATAGTTCACTCATCATAGCTCAGTAGATATTTTTTAAAGTTTATTTATTATTTTATTTGTAGAGCAAATCATGTTAAACCAGTGTCTTATTTCATTCTCTATTCGTAGATGATGTAAGTTGGCCGACTGAGATCACATATGCTGAGGTTGAACATAGATCTACAAAGAAACAGGAGAAAAAGAAAGAGAACAAAGGTAAACTGAAACAAAAGTCACCGCCCTTATGATTTTATGATCATGAGTGATTCTGCGAATTTGCACTGTAACTGACCTGATCCAAAAAAGGTAATTGCATGCAAATTGTTTATTTTGAGGTAATTTGAATTACGTCTCATACTCATTTTGAAATAAAATTATCCTCTCTGTAACAAAAAAAAAAAAAAGATTAAACACTATGTATGTATATTTGGATGAGTTAAGGGTGATTGGGACATTAGTTTGAATGGGACAGTATAACTACAGTTTAATTTCTCACCTAATGGGTGCAAATAAAACTTTTTTATTTCTGAGCCCTATAATCAAAACTGGATATGCCCTTATTGGTGTGACATGTAGGTGTGCGTGTCATGCATCAAACAGGAAGTTGACCCTGAAATACACGAACTGAGGAAAATAAGCTGATTTCAAAATAAAGTCCTAAAATTGTCATAGCTACTATATTGTACAAACCTTTGATGGAAACACGAATATGATGCACTACTGATACAAAATCAGAAACAATTTGTTAATGTCATGTTTCCATTTTCAGAATAGGTTGTTTTTATTTTGTCGCATCCACCCAAACACAATTTGGGTGAATGGGACAGTGTGAAAGGCTTTGCTAATTAAGAAAATGATTAACCTTAATAGAGAACCATTGTTTATGTTTAAATCAACCTCTTTATTTGTGTAAGCCCTAAATAACCACAAAAATATTCATGAACTACTTTGATTTTCCTAAAATAAAACGACCAAATTCTGAAAATAGAAACATAGTTGAACATTTTACATCTTTACATATGGTTGCAGTAATAAACCATATCCATATGCATGTTTCCATTAAAGTTTTGTGCAGGTTAAATGCGTTTATCAAACAGTTAAAATGGATAGTATCTTCATTATTACAGAAATGTCTAATGTGTTGGGCTGATGTTTTTAATTGATGGCAAGAAACCTTACACAAGGTTCAAAAACCCTCCCAATCACCTTTAATTTACCCATGTGTTGTTCATGCCATATTTCATATCACTGTTGGGTGTATCGTAAGCACATATGAACTTTTGGCATCTTCTAGGCAATAACAGTGAGAGCGGTGACATTTACTCAAAACTGAAGCTGTAAACAGATCAAGGTGAGTGTCAAACTAAAAACATCAATCACAATTCATAATCAGCTCATATATGCATTATTGGGTATAATCGAATGACATTATTGGGTATATTGTAATGTGTATATTGCATTGACATTGATATGTTTGCAGGTGCTGGATGTAGTGATGTAAGAAATGCCCGGAGGATGAGGAGAGTTTGCTGTAGGTTGAGAAGTGAATGGCCAGGATCATCAGGGCAATATTTACCAGAACTTACTTTAATATTAGTAAGCCTTCATGTGCTTCAGAGACTATGCATGTTAATCTCTGAAAAGAAATGAGATCATTATTCATTAGAAAAATACATTATTTTTTTGTACTGCACAGTGTGAGTTTTCATATATGTATATTAGTTTAACATTTGACAGCTGAGATAGCAGAATATTAGTTTAAGGCAGTTCATTTCTTCTGACTTTTGAGTAATTGACCAAGTTTCTTCTCTGTCTTCTTGATTTTAAATGTATTTGTACAGGTTCCCATGGATATGGAAATATCACCAAATGTTATTGTGATTTCCAGGTCTGGGAAAGTTGTCTTTAAAATAGATATTTAGTGAAACTATTTTTTTCTTTTCTAGCTATAATGCTTAAAATATTCTAGAAATAACTTAAACCGTCAAAAGGTTATATCCCAGCTAACAGACTTTTGTTATAAGAACGTTCTCTAAATATTCAGTGTTGGTTCTGGGAACGTGAAAAATGTCCAGTTTTCTTGACGTTAGAGGAACGTGTTTTAAAAGGTATAATGTTCCTCAAACGTTCATTAAACGTAATTTTCGATTAAAAATTCAACATGATAGTAATGTTGATTTCTAACATTCCAAGAACATAAAAATGTCCAGTTTCCTGAATGTTTCTACACAGCAAAAACTCAAGAGTGTTAAAGTGTTAAAATTTGAGTGTTAAATAAACACTGAAGAGTGTTAAAGTTAATGTGCTAACTAAATATGTGCTAATTAAGTTATCGATTGATTGATGATTGCGCATTATTGAAGACACCTGATGATGACAAGCAGAATCACTGAAGAAGAAACGCAAATTCTAGTCACCATTATGGAGATCAGTGTTTGGTTTAGTTGGGCAGTTGACTTTTACATGTTCAACTTTAGATTGTGTTTAGCTGCTTTTCTGTTTTTGACCAATAAACTATTATTGTTAATGTGGATCAGACCTTCACTAAGCTTTAGCATCGCTAGTACATCCCCGTCCTCTCAGATTCATTCCCACAATCCCATTGGCCAAATTATTTTCCTCTTTTAATATTTATATTTTGTTTTAATTACAATGCCTCTCTCAAGTCTGTCATGTTGTTCTGCTTTATGTAACGCTGTGCAATTCTTTACCATTTAAGGCTTGTGTGATATTTTCCTGATTCTCATTATAACCGCATGAACACACTGTCATTTGTATATGTGCGCATATTCCTTATTTTAGTCTCCTGACTTGTATTACTGCAGTATAATTTTATTTGTTTACTTTTCTTAATAAATAAACAAAGTCTTTTTGAAATATTCTGGATCTGATGCTTTGTCTCACAGTATAACAAATAAAAACAGAAGAATCGTGAATCAAGTTTTAATCT